TAAAGAAACTAAAGGTTTAAACAGTCTGTCTGTGCCAAGATTTTCTCGGGAACTACAGAACCGATTTTGTTGTTTCTTTTTTTATTTTGTAGGATTTTGACTACCGATGTCTGTGACGCAAATTGAATGCTCCATGCGCTATAGCTGCTGTGTAATGAATGAAAAACACGTTTTTCTATAGACTGTACCACGAAAACGGCTCTAACGATTTTGATGAAACTTTTCAATCTACTTCACACTCCGGAAAACAATTAAAAAAAAAAAAAGTCTATAGAAGTTTTCACTTCAATAAATCTTGAACTAAGGGCACAATCGGAAGCGGGTCTGCGAGCTATTTTTTTATATCTAGAACAAATCTTTCTAGACCGTGAGGGACATTCTTAATTTGTCACTCATTATTTCGGTTATGATTTCGTATAATCATATAATTGCGTTGGTAAGGCTATATTGAACAATACTAAACCATATACAGGAATCATGAGAAAGTCTGGGTGATCCTGAATTTCCGGTGCCCCTCTCGACAATATGTTTGAGAAAAGGGGTACTTTTATGGAGGAAGGAATAGACGAACCTATCTTAAATTTTAGTTTAAACAAATGGCAGTATTTTATGACATTTAACTGTTTCGAAGTTAATTTTTTGTTCAAAAATTGATTTATAAAAAAAATGTAATAATAAGTGTTTTAATTACTAAACTTTTTTAAATCTATATAAATAAAATAAAGGTTTTGTCTGTAAATTGAATAAAACCAACCCGTTTTTTGACAGCTTTCCGTTTCATACATTGCAGACACCAAATCAACTTTTAAAAAAGTTTTTGCCTGTCTGTATGTCCTCATAGCAACGAAATTTTGCCAGGAGTAACCTCAGCAATGGCTTATTGTAGACTTTTTCAAATTTTCTTTTATTTAAACGCTTAGTTTTATTTTCAATACAACAATCTTCCAGAAAAAAAGTGGCCTTCAAAAATATTGAGCCGTTTGGCGTGACCTACACCCCCAACTTTCAATATTCAAAATAACGAGGGTATATAGGACAAACAACCCAATACTTTTGTAGCCTAACTTTTTTATCTATTGTGTGGTCAAATTATCTTACGATCTATGGAGAAATCAAATGTCAATAATCAATTAAATATTACCTACCGTTGATATAATTAACAATGTCTTTGTTATAGTTAATCATTTGTTAGCTATAAGCTTTAAGCTGTAGTCGCGTTAAAAATGCACATCAAATATTTTACAATAGACTTGCATTGGCAGAAAATAATGTCTATTCAAAGTATTGGATAATGTATAATGTACAAATATAATAATTTCTATCAATATTTGCATTACAATAAATACATATATTTTTAATACTAATTAAAGTACAAAATAATATATTTAATGCATTAATAGTGTACATAACTGTACTAAAGAGTAATACAATTATTTATTTTATTCATTGAAGCTCTTAAATTTCTTTTTAATTAATTTAAATTTATGATCGTTCATTATTCCATCGATTCAAACCAAATTCTAGATTCCAAAGCAGACATGTGCACCATATGGCTGGAGTTTTTATTATGTGTAAAAATTGAACATAATTATTGTGTAACGAACTTATATAATATTGAATATTTAAAACTTATTTGTTTATGATATAACCATTATCACATTGGTGTGTATCTTCCTAGAATTAACATTGCGGAGTTTTTTCTATGATGTGCTTGACCTCTAGAACATTTTGACATGTTTACAGCAGTGCCTAAAAGGAGGTTTTATGGCGCCATAAAAATTTAGAATGGGGCACATTCCTAGGGATTTTTGCAATGTTGAAAGGAGACATAAACGTTCAACTTCAGTTTCTATATTTTCTCCTCGTATATTTACCTGCTTTGCGTCAGTCTTACCGGAAATCATCAGTAGGTAATATTTAATTAGGTACTAAAAACTCGTAAATACACATTTATTTTCTACTTAGATCGTAAGATAATTTGATAAAAAAATAGATAAAACAGGTGGCCTACAAAAATATTGGGCAGTTTTCCTATATAACCTCGTTATTTTGAAAATTGAAAGTTGGGGGTGTAGCTTCTACCAAAAGGCTCAATATTTTTTAAGGCCACTTTTTTTATGGAAAATTGTTGTATTGAAAATAAAACTTAGCAGTTAAATAAAAAAAAATCTAGTGCGCCCAATACACAACTTTCACTTACCGCACTACTTTGAATTATTTTCTGGCAATGTTGGTCTATTGTAAAATTTTTGAATTTTATTTTTAACGGAACAACATATATTAAATACTAAATGACAATATATGAGAACTATAAAATTATGCAATAAAATATAAATGATGCTTAAGATTGTATATAGATATGAATTTATCTTTTTTGTTTTTCCTTTCAAAGTAACTTTTTGAAAGGACCACTTATTGTGGTACATTACACCTTAATTATAATATTTTAACAAATAACATTAACATTAAATAAGTAGAAAAATGATTTAATTAGTATAATATGCAATTATCGGTGCCATTTTTTAAGTTTCTTTTTAAAAACCATTGGGCCAAAGGTCACCAAATATAGACAGTTATCACATCATGGATTATTTATTCTACGTTTCGGCGCCAGGAGCCATTTTCAAGATCCTGCAAACTAATTTTAATTTAGTTGTTATACTTTAAACTACATCACAGGCGGATCTACGGGAGAAAAGAGGGCTTTCGGGCTGAAGCCCCTCCCCCAAAATGGCAAAACATAACCATGTTTTACAGAAAAAAATATTGAATACTATCTCTTAAAGTATTCTTGTTAGTGTAATTATATTTAATAGGACTTCAAGAACCATTTAAACATCACTTCATATAGGTAGTTAATTTCTTCCTTTTTTTTTAATTAATTATTGTTATACGTATATGAAAAAAATCTTTCTTCCAAAAATTTTGAAGCTCCCGTCCCAAAATTAAATCCTGGATCCGCTAGTGAACTACATCATAATAAAACACATATTAATTCTATAACAATCAGTTACAAAGACCAAGGCCAAGACTGGTAAAAAAAAATCGTTTTTGTGAATAAAAATTGAAGCAAAATACTTACTAATACTTGACAATTTTAGTTACTATATGTAAAAAAAACGCTGCAAATTATTCCACAATGGTTTATTATTTCCAAAAAATTATACATCAAAACTAACATTACCTTCATAGTTACAAAGAAAAATAAATAAAAGGTGATTCCAATTATTGGACTAAACTTTTTTTTTTAATCATTAGTAATATGCTATAAAAAGAATAGCATTACTTCAGTAACACATTCAAAATTTTAAAACCAAACAAAGGATATAACATTTAGAGTTGAACATATAAAAAAAAAAACCGGAGACCATATCTTTGCTCCTAATTGTCCGATTTTAACGATTTTTTTTTTTCTTGGTTTTTAGAAAATTTCTTAAACTTTTAAAAAAACAATATACAACATCCCCAAAAAAGTGTATACTTTTTGAGTTATTCGGAATTAAATTTTATCATCCCTCGTAATTTTTTTCCAGTTTCTTTTCAAAGCTTGTTATATAGATAAATTTAAAGGGCGTAGAAAAAATTACTTTAGCGAAGTTTCATTGAAATCGCTACAGTCCAAAGCAATGCAGGTTTTTCGGCCACCATTTTGAAAGTAAATGGCGGATAATAATGTCGATGAAGGAGGATCATCCTCAAAATCGGTCCAGTAGTTTCGGAGAATATGCGCGCGGACGGCGGACGGACAAAAAAATGTTGTAATGTTATATTACCATATATATTCCATTATGCCAAAGAATTTAAGCTATTTTATTATCATTTATATTATTTCTCCTTTTATTTTTCATATATTGTTAATAATGTTGTCAAAATAAAATTTCAATGTTGTAATAATATTAGGATTTGATTTTGGGTTAATAATACAATTTTGAATGATAGAGCTCATTAGAAAAAAGACAAAATACTACAAATTTCACTCTCTTACAATATACAGATTAGATTTTTAGAATCTGAAATATTTTAATCCATATATTCAACTAACCTCATTATCATTTTGTTTTCGACATTATATTTTCCTATTCGCCTACCTCACCCGGTATCGTATTAAGATACAATTTTAATTATAGCTTATTACAGAGAGGATGAAATACTGAACAATGTCCTTACTTACAGTATGCAGGTTTTATTTTTACTTTCTGTAAAACCACATCTGACAATTCAATCTACTTCACACTCCGGAAAAAAAGTAAAAAAAAAAAAGTCTATAGAAGTTTTCACTTCAATAAATCTTGAACTAAGGGCACAATAGGAAGCGTGTTCTTAAAGGAAATCTGGATGATCAAAACATATAAGCAGTATTCATATCTACTATGTACCAATATTAATCATCAACCAATGCGAAGTTGAAGAAATGTGATATCCATAAAAAAGGTACCATCAGAAGTATATATTTTTTTAATTGGAGGGGTTGTTAGGAAATATAAATAGTTCTCACTTTGGTTTAAATAACTTATTTTTAAATAACACATGATCCTAACTAAACATTAAATTACTAGATATTTTAGAAATTTAAGGAGATGAAATAAACTTATATCAAATAAAATATGTATTTATTGTTATATTCAATTAACAAGTATGTACACATATACAAATAATTTGATATTAAAACTTATAAACATATAATTGAAACATGAAACATATATTTTATTTAGATAAGTAGAAATACGAACAAAATAAATTTGAGTATAAAATAAAAAAAGAAATAATCACAAACATTTACTGGTATACTATATTTTCACAGGTCTTAATTAGTTCTTAAAGCACCGTTTGTCAAGTTCGAACACATATACATATAATTTGATATTAACACTTATAAACATAAAACATATATTTTATTTAGATAAGTAGAAATACGAACAAAATAAATTTGAGTGTAAAATAAAATAAAAAAATAATCACAAACATTTACTGGTATATTATATTTTCACAGGTATTAATTAGTTTTTAAAGCACCGTTTGTAAATTTCGAATACATATACTGAATTTGTTCCTCTATTCAGTTTTGATGACGTAATCAAGGGCCCATTTGTCGAATCGGGACAGGCGAATATTAGGAGGGTACATGTTGCAAAGGTATTTCGGTACTTTTGGAACAAACATGCGAGGTCGATGTACCCGTTGTCCGTAGTGTCCTTTAAATATCTTTGAGGTCCTGTCAGCTGATGTGGCTTTTCTCTTGGCAGAAGGATTTTCAATTCCGAGCCAAGATAGTACTATTAAAGATTTTTGACTTGGAGGATTACGGAAAAAATCTTTGATCAATATCTTAATGTTTGAAATGATCTTTAAAGTCACTATTTTAGCCCTATCCTCTTCATCCTTTTCTTTCTTTTTAAGAACATCTTCTAATATTTTGGTATATGTATGTGAAGCTCTAAGGAGATAAAGAAGTCTTATTCTAAAGTCCGTCAACTGGTCAGGCTTATAAAGAAAATAAGAAGGAGTTGAACGCATCATAAGATGCATTGTATACAGAAGGCATTCCACAGACGGGAATTGCAGTCTCTTATAAGTGTCTTGTTCATCTTTAGCCGGAATAGGTAGAAACTGAGTCAAGACATCAAACACTTCATCTATCAAATCATCAATAAATTTCAAGTCTGAATACGTTGCTACTTCTGTTAATAATTTTAGTATTGCTATAGCACTCTCAGATCCATATTTTGCACCAGGAAAAGACATGAATTTAGGTAAAATTTTTTTGCAGAAAAATATTAAATATTCATTAGAATTAACGACTGGATTGAAAAAAGTTTTAGCACTACCTAAAACTTTATAGCTGCCTTTTTTAATTTGGTCTAATATAACCGCTATGGCTGACACAGGATCCCACTGGATAACACTGACCAAAGACTCACTCACGATCGAAACCTCACCGGAATCAGTCTTAAGAAGTAACTTTGCCAAAAGACGAGCAATAAGCACTGTATACTCTTGTATTTCGCCACACAGCTGTGGCAATCCTTTGATAGCTTCTTGCCTTACAGCAACATCATCGTCTTCACATAAATCAAAGTAAACTTCAAGAGCCCTTTTTGCAAGGTGGGGAAAATGTTTGAAGAATTTAGGGATCAGCTGACATACCATCTTATTGTCTATAGGACGCATTGGCGATAATCCCAAGATTCCTCGGTAAACTTCTTCATGTTGACTGGGATCTCTAGATCCTGTTAGTATTTCGCGCTGAATGCACAGGATTATTATCTTATGGTGAACCATTGTTGAAGCAAAACGAACACAACAAAACAAGCTGCAATCTACACTTCAATACACAAAATATGAAGAAGCGTGGTTAAAAGAACACTAATGGAACAAGATACCGGCAGACTGCTGAACAAACTAACAACTGTGAGTAAACTGCACGAAGTAACAGCCCTGCATAGGCCTTACCATAGCAGGTACAGGAGTCCCCCCCCCCTCTGAATTTTTGTGTTCAGGTCTTGGTCTTTGTCTTGCGCAAGAGTCTTGCAGTTAACTATCAGCTTATTGCTATTTATTAATATGATATTTTAAATTTTAGAATAACGCTACAAAATAACTGCAATTAGATGTTTTATAGACATAAACATTGTAAAGTACAACTAAACAAAATTAAGAATAAAGAAAGATAGTGATAACCCTCCTCCATCCCTCCGATTATATGGAATGAAAGAGTTGTAGAGTAAAGACAATTTATATATAGTTACCAACGATTTTAATTAAAAATCTATCGTGTTCACTTAAGAGACAGAAACGTTTAAATAGATCCGTTTAAAACCGTTAGGTGTATACGTGGTGAGCCAGCTCCCCAAAACAATATTCTTTTCTTTATAACTTTTTTTCTTGAATTGTCTCAAGAATTCACTAAAAATACGAAAATTTAAAAGACTTTAAGTAGAAAATTAAAAGAAAGTTTCATTAAAATCGTTAGACAGGAAAACAGAGCCGTATAATGTTAATTTTAAACTTCATAAAGCATAAATACATATGTTTATACAATTAATTGATTAATGTTTTTAGCACATATGTTCTATTCGCACGTAAAATAAATAAATGCAATTATTAGTAGTTTAATTTCTTAGGAGTTCGTGAGGGACATTCTTAATTTGTCACTCATTATTTCGGTTATGATTTCGTGAGGAGTAACCTCAGCAATAGCTTATTGTAGACTTTTTAAAATTTTCTTTTATTTAAACGCTTAGTTTTATTTTCAATACAACAATCTTCCAGAAAAAAAGTGGCCTACAAATATATTGAGCCGTTTGGCGTGACCTACACCCCCAACTATCAATTTTCAAAATAACGAGGTTATATAGGACAAACGACCCAATACTTTTGTAGCCTAACTTTTTTATCTATTGTGTGGTCAAACTATCTTACGATCTATGGAGAAATCAAATGTGTATTTACGAGTTTTAAGTACCTAATTAAATATTACCTACCGTTGATATAATTAATAGGGTTTTTGTTATAGTTAATCATTTGTTAGCTATTAGCTTTAAGCTGTAGTTGCGTTAAAAATGCACTTCGAATATTTTACAATAGACCAGTATTGCCAGGAAATAATGTATATTCAAAGTATTGGATAATGTATTATGTACAAATATAATAATGTCTATCAATATTTGCATTATAATAAATACATATAGTTTTAGTACAAATTAAAGTACAAAATAATATATTTAATGCAGCAGCGTTTGCGTACATAACTATACTAAAGAGTAATACAATTATTTATTTTATTCATTGAAAGCCCTTAAATTTCTTTTTAATTAATTTAAACTTATGCTCTGTCATTATTTTATAGATTAAAACCAAATTCTAGATTCTAAAGCAGACATGGGAACCATATGGCTGGAGTTTTTATTATGTGTAAAAATTGAACATAATTATTGTGTAACGAACTAATATAATATTGAATATTTAAAATTTATTTGTTCATAATATAACCATTATCACATTGGTGTGTATCTTCCTAGAATTAACATTGTGGAGTTTTTTCTATGATGTGCTTGACCTCTAGAACATTTTGACATGTTTACAGCAGTTCCTAAAAGGAGGTTTTATGGCTCCATAAAAATTTAGTATGGGCCATATTGAGCCGTTTGGTAAAAGCTACACACCAACTTTCAATATTCAAAATAAAGAGGTTATATAAGAAAACGGCCCAATATTTTTGTAGGCGTCCTTTTTTATTAAATGATTAACTATCACAAAAACCCTATTAATTATATCAACGGTAGGTAATATTTAATTAGGTACTAAAAACTCGTAAATACACATTTGATTTCTACTTAGATCGTAAGATAATTTGATAAAAAAATAGATAAAAAAGGTGGCCTACAAAAATATTGGGCCGTTTTCCTATATAACCTCATTATTTTGAAAATTGAAAGTTGGGGGTGTAGCTTTTACCAAAATGGTCAAGAGGTCAAGCACATCAAAGAAAAAACACCGCAATGTTAATTCTAGGAATGTGATAATGGTTATATCATAAACAAATAAATTTTAAATATTCAATAATATATTAGTTCGTTACACAATAATTATGTTCAATTTTTACACATAATAAAAACTCCAGCCATATGGTGCACATGTCTGATTTGGAATCTAGAATTTGGTTTGAATCGATAGAATAATGAACGAGCATAAATTTAAATTAATTAAAAAGAAATTTAAGGGCTTCAATGAATAAAATAAATAATTGTATTACTCTTTAGTATAGTTATGCACGCAAAATATTGCTGCATTAAATATATTATTTTGAACTTTAATTTGTATTAAAACTATATGTATTTATTATAATGCAAATATTGATAGACATTATTATATTTGTACATTATACATTATCCAATACTTTGAATAGAGATTATTTCCTGGCAATACTGGTCTATTGTAAAATATTCAAAGTGCATTTTTAACGCAACTACAGCTTAAAGCTTACAGCTAACAAATGATTAACTATAACAAAACGCTGTTAATTGTATCAACGGGAGGTACTATTTAATGAGTTACTAAAAATTCGTAAATACACTTTTGATTTCTACATAGATCGTAAGATAATTTGATCACAAAATAGATAAAAAAGGACGTAATTAAAAATATTGGGCTGTTTGTCCTATATAACCTCGTTATTGCGAAAATTTAGTGGTGTAGATCACGCCATACGGCTCAATATTTTTGAAGGCCACCTTGTTTCTGGAAAATCTTTGTATTGAAACTAAGCGTTTGAATAATAAAAAATCTGGTACATTATTTTCTGGCCATTTTTGTCTATTGTAAAATTCCAGCCCTTAAATTTCTTTTTAATTAATTTAAACTTATGCTCTGTCATTATTTTATAGATTAAAACCAAATTCTAGATTCTAAAGCAGACATGTGAACCATATGTTTTTATTATGTGTAAAAATTGAACATAATTATTGTGTAACGAACTAATATAATATTGAATATTTAAAATTTATTTGTTCATAATATAACTATTATCACATTGGTGTGTATCTTCCTAGAATTAACATTGTGGAGTTTTTTCTATGATGTGCTTGACCTCTAGAACATATTGACATGTTTACAGCAGTGCCTAAAAGGAGGTTTTATGGCTCCATAAAGATTTAGTATGGGCCATATTGAGCCGTTTGGTAAAAGCTACACACCAACTTTCAATATTCAAAATAACGAGGTTATATAAGAAAACGGCCCGATATTTTTGTAGGCGTCCTTTTTTATTAAATGATTAACTATCACAAAAACCCTATTAATTATATCAACGGTAGGTAATATTTAATTAGGTACTAAAAACTCGTAAATACACATTTGATTTCTACTTAGATCGTAAGATAATTTGATAAAAAAATAGATAAAAAAGGACGTAATTAAAAATATTGGGCTGTTTGTCCTATATAACCTCGTTATTGCGAAAATTTAGTGGTGTAGATCACGCCATACGGCTCAATATTTTTGAAGGCCACCTTTTTTCTGGAAAATCTTTGTATTGAAACTAAGCGTTTGAATAATAAAAAATCTGGTGCGCGCAATCCACAACTTTCACTTACCGCGCTACTTTGAATAGACATTATTTTCTGGCCATTTTTGTCTATTGTAAAATTCCAGGCATTAATACGTTTCTTGTTTCAATTGATTCTCTTTATGTTTCCTGATTATTTAATATTTAAAAAAGTTTTGTAATAAAAAAAGCTTGGTATTAAATTTTGTATAAAAATCAATTTTCAACAATTCAATTCAAAAAAATAATTTCGAAACAGTTAAATGGCATAAAATACTGTCATTTTTTTAACCAAAAATTTAAGGAAGGTTCGTCCATTCCTTCCTCCATAAAAGTACCCCTTACCTAAAATATATTGTCAATAGGGGCGCCGGTAATTCGGGATCACCCAGACTTTCTCATGATCCCTATATATGGTTTAGTATTGTTCAATATAGCCTTACACGTGCAATTATATTGACACTATTTCAATGACATTAAAGAAGCTAATAAAAAAAAATATTAATACCAACCAGTTTAATTGTCATTTGTACCAATACCTGACATCTTCCTCGAAAAATGGGATAGTGAAATTTCTACCCCTTCTAAACCTCTATTTCATATATTTTCATATATAAGTCTCCATATATTCATAAGTCCCCACTGCCTCCGATTCGTTAACTATACTCTAGTGTCGCTTTCGACTCTCATATGTGTCTAACTTATTTAACTTTATAATTATTAAAAATTAAAAAAGATTGATTTATAAGCAAATAAAAATATGATCCTAGTTATTGTGTAATTTTAAAATCAATTTATTGAAATTTAAATTATTAAACAAGTAGATAGATATTTTATTTGTTTTAAGGGGGTTCCCCATACAAATAGAGCCTAGCTTGGCTATTGTACAATAATATGGTTTTACAAATTTACATACATATAATTTAAATATAAATAAAATTTACAATATTTAACGTTTAGGTTTCACAAAACATGAATAACAATAAAAATTAAAAACATAAAACGATTACTGCAGATAATAGTCATATGAACCAGTTACTATGATAGAAACAATAAAAATTAAAAATATTTATAAATATATAAAAAATATTACTCTTAAGATAAACTATAAACAAACAAGTATTTTTATAATTAAAATGGAAAACATTTAGAAACTTTTTATTCATTTGAAAAAATAAAACCGTTAATTAAATTAAATTAAGAAAAAATTACTAATATACAGTAAGAAACTTTGTGTGGGTGTGTTTAATGAGAGGAG